GTCCCGGGACGGCTTGTCCCGAAGGCCGGGGCTCCGGACAAGCGATGGACACACTGTAGCGGGTCTCTTTCCAGCGGGAGCGTCTCGGACCCGCGCTCCGCAGCCCCGCCCCAGCGCCGGCCTGAGTTCTGTTCGCTGCCCAGCGTCTGAGCTCCTCCGCGTCCTTGTTTGCAGGCGGCGATGGTGGGGGCCACCCAGTTGGGCTCAGTACTCACCTCTCAGCCTGGACTCCAGCCGCGGCCGGAGCTGTTCAGGGCGAAGGAGTCGCTCACTTGCTTCTGACGGTCCCGCTGGGATCGCGTAGACTCACTCCCGTGGGAGCTCACGACCATGGTCAGAGCCTCTGTCTCATCCACGGAGGCCGCTGTGTCCTGTCCCCGGGGCCAGCGATGGACCGTCCTTTCCCTGTAGAATCCTCTGTGCGTCCCAACGGGAATCGAGGCATTGGCTGGCCGCCCGGCCTCCGAGGGACACAAGACACCACGCAGCACGCGGCCGGGAAGGACATGGTTCGCTAATAAAGCAGGACGCCCGTGCAATTAGAATTCCAGATAGAGAGCGAATCGTGTTTTTCGTATGCACATTCCCCGATGCTGCCTGAACAAATATTGCATGGGACGTACTTTCGTTGAAGAATTGTGCCTTTTTTATCTGGAGTTCGGGCTGCTCCATAGGGCAGTGATGGCGAACCTTTTGAGTTCGGCGTGTCAGCATTTTGAAAAACCCTAACTTAACTCTGGTGCCGTGTCACATATAGAAACTTTTTTATATTTGCAACCACAGTAAAACAAAGATTTATATTTTTGATATTTATTTTATATATTTAAATGCCATTTAACAAAGAAAAATCAACCCAAAAAAATGAGTTTGCATGTCACCTCTGACACGCGTGTCATAGGTTCGCCGTCACTGGTTTAAACTTTCCTGCACGTGCCCCAGCTGACGGCTACCTGGGCCTCCCTCCCTCCCTTCTCTCTGCTCATCCGAGCTGTCTCCACCCTTTGAGCCTCCCTCAATGCTCTTCAAATTGAGAGACCTTGCTCGACCGGCGTGGCTCAGTGGTTGAACTCCGACCTATGAACCAGGATCCACGATGCGATTCCTGGTCAGGGCACACGCCCAGGTTGCAGGCTCAGTCCCCAGTGGGAGGTGGGCAGGAGGCAGCCGATCAGTGATGCTCTCTCATCATTGGTGTTTCTCTCCCCCCGCCCCTTCCTCTCTGAAATCAATAAAGATATCTTTTTTTAAATTTTTTAAAAAATATATTTTATTGATTTTTTACAGAGAGGAAAGGAGAGGGATAGAGAGTTAGAAACATCCATGAGAGAGAAACATCAATCAGCTGCCTCCTGCACACTCCCTACTGGGGATGTGCCTGCAACCAAGGTACATGCCCTTGACTGGAATCGAACCTGGGACCCTTGAGTCCGCAGGCTGACGCTCTATCCACTGAGGCACACCGGTCAGGGCAAGAAATCTTTTTAAAAAGCAAAAAAACAACAACACCCGAGTATCCTGACCTCGGACCTCGCTCGTTTCCAGAAACAGTCCTGGCCAGCGTCCCCCGCAGATGAGAGCAGAGCCGAGAGGACGGGGACAGCTGTCCTGCTGGGAACGGAAGAGACGGCAGCGTCACTGGGGTTGAAAGATGCCTGAGAGGGAAGCACCATCCCCCCAAAGGCGGTGCCCCAGGCTCTGACCTCCGGGCGAGAGGCTCCCCGGGCCAGGCTAACCCTTTGTTTTTTCGCCAGCATCCAGCCCGGGCCTGGGAGATCCATGTGGGTTTGTTCAATGAAGACCTTGGAGTGACCTTGAAGAGGCCATCAGCCACGGCTCTGGACACTGCCCCCTCTTGCAATGGGTCTCCGGCGCCTGGTCCAGCATGCGGGCAGTCACTTCCCAAGGGCATGGCCTGAGGGTATTGGCCGAGGGCAGCACCGAGAGCCACGGCCGCCTGGGGCCGGGAGGCGTCCGCGCTGTTTATATGATGGGTATCTGGTGGATAAATAAACTTCGTTTTCCAGGGCTGCCAATCTCTAAACATGCAGAAATACACACTCGCTCAGAGACTTTAACAAAATAAACAAACGTGGTGATGTTTGAATCTTCCTCACATCGAGGCCCGGGCCCCAAGCTGCTCGCCTCTCAGCTGCTTCATAGGCCCGGGTTGTGGGCCCCTGAAATTCCGCTCGGAGGAAACGCTCCTGCGGGGCTGGGGAGGGGGTTCCCCAGCAGAGCCTCCTGTCCACCCCCCCCCCCCCCCGCCCCGGCCCAGTGCGCCGGGCCACGCGCACGCCAACAGTCCAGGGGCCACCAGTGTCCGCTGCACTGGCCCTGCTCAGCCGACAGCAGGGGAGGTCAGGGGGAAAAGCAGAGACTTAACCTGGGGTCCCCCCTTTTTCCGGATCTGAGGCACCTTAGCCGGGCATCTGCCACCCCCCCACCCCTGCCTCCGTCCTCCGTCCTCCAGTGCCAGAGTGAGGACGGGGCTGCCGGGACCCCGGGACCAGGAGCGTCACTGCCTGGGGCGTGGAAGGTGGGTGAGGAGGCAGACAAGGACCCCTTGGCTCCGAGTGGAGAATTCTCCCGCCTGCAGTTTCCGTTTCTCTTCTAATCCTCACCTGCGGGCATTTCTCCATTGGCTTTTAGAGAGAGTGGAGGGAGGGGGAGAGGCACAGAGAGAAACATGGATGTGAGAGAGACACATGGATTGGTTGCCTCCCACATGCGGCCCAACCGGGGCTGGGGAGGGAGTCTGCAACCCAGGTACATGCCCTTGACCAGACTCGAACCTGAGACCCTTCAGTCTGAGGGCCGATGCTCTAACCACTGAGCCACCGGCCAGGGCTGCAGCCATGTTTAACCCACCCCAGGGGCCACGGGTGGGGATGGAGAAGACACTCCACCATGGGCGGGTCCTGAAGGTGCCACAGACACCAGTGTGTGCGCTGAGGACTCGCAGCAGCCTGGGGGGACGTTGCCCTGGCAGGGGGACCAATGGCTGGGGGTGCCTGGTCACGGTGTGGGGCACCAGGTCATGAAACCCAGGCATCGCCATCTTCCCTTCAGGCTGAGAGCGGGCAGGGCCGTGGCTCTGACACCCCCCACCCCCGGCCTGGGCTGGCCACCTCCTCTCTCCCCCTCTTGACTCTGGAGGTGCCTGATGCCAACAGGAAGCCCCATCGAGGCAAACACCCGCTCTCGTCCACTGGGGGACCAGACGGCACACCCACTTCCTGCCGCTCCTTCCACCCCCGGCCCCGACACCGTGCGCCGAGACCGTGACCCGGGCGAAGTGAGCCCCCGTCAGGGTGTGATTCCCCTGCAGCAGACTCGCATCCACACGGTGCAGCGCGGAACCGGGGAGCACGCGGGGGTCGCTCACTCACCCTCGCACCCGCCTGACTTCCCAGCGGCTGCAGGTCTCACCCAGCGGGACCTCTGAGCTGCTCCCAGGCCCCAGCCCACCCAGGCGGCGGGGCCAGCAGTTCCCAGGAAGGGCGGGGTGGGGGTGTCAGAAATAGCTTTTTAAAGAAACTTCTTCTTCATGGATTTCAGAGAGGAAGGGGGAGGGAGAGAGAGATTTTCCCCGTGACCTCCAGGTCCCCGTGTGGAGCATCGGTCGCACCTGGAAAGGCTGTGCTGTCTCTTTAAGGTGGGGAGGGCCACCTGGCACCGGGCTGGGCATCTCTGGGAACCTGACCCCCATCTGGGCCGGCAAAGAGCAATCATCAAGCAGGAACTTGCTCGCGCCCAACCCACCTACTTAATTGGCGCTTGGCTGAAGCTAATGTTCCGCATTATTGGGGCCTCCCCAGGTTGCATTAAAAAGGTGAAGCTCATACCCGCAGGGCTCCTGGCCTGGGGGGGCC